TAACAATAAGAAATTCCTTTTATCCCTTATGTATAAAATAAATATTTTAATCAAACAATTTTGTCTTTAAATCTATACTAATCGTCAAGAAACTGTTTCAATAAAAAATGTAATCCCCTCAAAAAATCTTTTTCATACTATGAAATAAATATATACTTGTTCAATAACAGAATAAAACCACAAAAACAAAAAAACCCATCATCCAACCATAAGACTAGAAAATACAAATATGCCTCAAACCTTATCAATTACAGAATAGCTTCAGGGCAAGGGCATCAATAAAAAAAATCAACAATGACTGTTGATTTTTTATAACAGATTTTTTTTTCTTTAAAAAAAAAATAGGCCAAGATAAACAAAAATACTCACCCTAAGATTACATAAACAACAAACCATAAACCGCCACCTGCACAACCAAATACAAATATTAATCTTGATGATCTTAAACTCGACCTAATAATTAACACTATTCACCTGGCATTACCACAAAATAAAGTAAAAGCAGAATAAAGTAGGGTACGTTAGATGACATCCGTTGCCACTTCACTTTTTATTAAAATGTAGGAAAAGTAGGAGATCTATAAACAATTCGTGAGATTTTGCACTGTGTTGACCTAGCAAAACTTTTAAAATAGGTAGAATTGGAGCTGGCCACCTTTTATGTTTTTGTGCATGGTGAATTATCATAAAGCCTGATGTACTGCTTTTACGATATCCGTCACATGATAGATAAAATCTCAGTAAATATTTATAGGAGTAACAGGGCAGTGCACCAAGGACCTATTCACACAAATCTTTTCATCACGATTCTATGACTATCTCCTTAAAGCTTCCGGTGAGGTCTAATTACAAATTCTTTTCATTAGCCTCTTCAAATTAAATGGAAGGTATACTAACATTGTCTAGCTGGCTTTATACACTTTTATATCGCGAAAGGCAATCAGATCTTAAAATGCTTTTTTTATAAAATACAAAAGTTATATATTATCTGCACATTTATTTATAAATAAATAAATAGCTGTTGGCATATAAACATTTAATATTAAAATCAACAAATCAAAGGGTTTTCAAATTTAACAATCAATTTGTATTATTAGGCAAAATTATTAAGTAGATATAAGTAAGTTATTTACAATTCTAAATAATAGTATATTTTAAAATTTTAAATATATAAACAAATAGGCAAAGTCAGACAAATAGTATTCATAGTAATTTAGTGTCTAGTCTTTCCATATGTTTAAATAACAATTTATTCTGTATTTATATATCTTCTTCCTAGTAATCTAACGTGCTTCTAAGTCTTATTAACTTTAGACTTGTGATATTTGTCGGAGCTACTTTAATTTCGTAGGAAAGTACGTGACAAAAAATTAAAATGTCGATCACATCAAAATAGGACAGCTGATTGCCGTTGTATTACAACCGTTTGTCCTTAATACGACGTTCAGGTTAACGCAGTCCACAAGACATCTTCTCAACTCATATCATTGTGGGAAAATTCTTCTTCTATCAGTCCTTCATCACCTTAAACTAAATTAGGTGAATACATCTCATATAACTGATTTACTGGTAGTCTCGAAACAATACTTAATGAAAAAAATAAAGTCGATTGTTATAGCAAATATACGTTTGCTTCATCGACAATCCCACCAAAGAATATATGTCAAAAGGGCCTGGCCTTCCTTGAAATTCACATTTGCCCTGTGACCCAAAAGGCGCTCGTGGCAGCGTAGCTGATTGGTTAGTGTGTATAGCTCCCATTCTGCACTGTCGCGGTTCGACTCCCGCTGAGGGTGTTGATAAGACCGATGCGAGGTTAAGCAGCAGTCCATCCTGGATAAGAACAACTTTTGGGAAAGCAAGGCTATGTGAAATTCAATGGAAACTTCACCTCAACTCATATCATTGTGGGAAAATTCTTCTTCTACCAGTCCTTCATCACCTTAAACGAAATTGGGTGAACACATCTCATATTACTGATTTACTGGTAGTCTCGAAACAATATTTAATGCGAAAAATAATTATAAAGGTTAGTCTTATTTTTTGAGGTTAATTCTTCAGTATCACCGTTGAACTAAAAGCACATCTTTTGTCACCTTATAGGGCATCTTTTTATCATAATGTAGTACTTGGATTTTGCTTTAAATAGGGCTAGTCGAAATTCCCAAAATCTTTGTGAATCAACACTGAATGATATTCTTAATATCTTTCCAAGATAATCTTAAGCTAATTCGGACTGTGATTCCTCATTCAGGAAATTTGAAAATGAAATTATCTGGAAAAGTAAATATCTTCTCCATCTATTTTGTATTAATAATCATTGATTACTTTAAACAATGCTTCGGCGTATAGGGAACCCTCATTCTCCAAGATAACCTATCACATAATGCGAAAATAAGCAGTTTCTTTTGTAATATACAAGCCTAGTACAACACTCTTATTTACATATATCATAATTGTAAGTAAATTGATACAAAGGATTTGCCTTTAATATTGAGAATCTAATTACTTTTGTATTTATTTGAGCATATGATACAGTTTGTATAATAATGTGATATGCTAAGCTCTCAAAATTCACAATCCTTTCTATAAATGTATTCTAAACTAATGTTTAAAGACTGACAATCTTCTTGCTGTCACTGGGATTATTTTCATGCTATTTACCGAATCGAAGATATCTCCTTGCATTCATTTAGAGATTATTATCATAGGGTATTAGACACCTTAAACAATATAGGCCCCATAAGCTGATGAAGGACTGATGGCTAAGTTTATCTCACTATGCTATGAGTAAGTATTGAATTTCAATTAGCCTCGATAACAAAAATGTATTCGCGTCCGTGTTGCACTACATATTCGACACTCGACGAGATTCAATATTTTTGGATTGTATCGTGGCAAGGCTAAGTGAAATTTATTGGAAACATGACACCTACTTATACCATTGTGGATAAAGTCCAAACATCATTCTTTCGTTCTTTATGCCACCTGATATTCTAAAAAACCTACTTCAAATATAAGCATCCCAGTCCATTGTAATGGAAAGCGCTAGATTGTTTATTGACATTCCCACCATAAAATATGATATCGGAGAGGCTTGCACTTTCTTGCTCTGTGACCTAGGAACACTTGTAGCAATTTGGTGTGGTAGCAATGTGTCGCTAAATTATCCATGTTTGATTATTTCTGGGTTGCTGGTGAGACCTAGGCGATGTCGAAATTGTAATCAACCCTGGATAATATTTTTAAGGGGCAAGGCTAATTGAAATTAAATATAAACCTTACGCCTTCTATTATCATTGTTGGAAAGACTCACCTATCCATCTTTTATCAACTTATGTAATCTAGTGTAACTGGAACCTCTTATTTAAATTTGGTTTATTCTCTAAAACCTTCTCACTAAATAGGCTTTTTCTTACCTTTATCCAACTTGCTCAAGGAGACAGGAAAAACTCATTGATCGTTCCAAGTCCAGCTGTTGTAGTAATGATATTTTCTAGCATCGGATCTTTGACATGTTCAGACGTTTTGCAAGCATCATAGTTGGCACTCTCAATTAGATTCGCCATCCTTGACTATTATAGCAAAGGATTGGGTACGTTCTATAAAGTATCTTTGCCACCTCGTCCAAGCTGCGAATACGAGTTCGGACCAGCTCGACATGAATGATAGAGACTAAGTTCAAACCTAAGGCCATACTATCTTGATATTTATTTGCTTTAAACAATGTTTATGTATGCGCTTTAATTATTAAAATCATACACAATTTTAAATTTTGTCATCGTTCTTATTTGTGCTATTTTATCCTCTTATTTCAGATACGAAATTACTTTCCTTTGAATCGGTATTCATCGATGACAAGGACGATGTTGCCTTCTCTAGATCGAGTACTGAACTGATAGAAATACCTGGACTTAATGAAGGCCCTGTCACTGATCTCAACCTGGCAGACTCACTTGGTTTCGTTTCTGCTGGAGAGGAGCGTGAACGAGCCCGTCAAAGGCAGACAAAGACTATACCTAAGGATTTCATTGCTAATTGGGCTAGTACTCGAGTGGCAGCGATGCCCGGTCTCATGATGAACTCTTCTGCTGCGACTGGATCAGGCGGCGGTGGTCCTCAGTTGGCTGGTCCAAACAGTGTTAGCACGGATGTAGCAATGGCGATGATGGCCGCAGCAGCTGCTGCAGCAGCCGCAGCGGCCTCTGTGAGCCATTTGCCTCCACGTTATCCTCGTTCTTCAGGGGGGCCAAGTCACTCCCAACCTCCGGTCTCCCCTCCAACCCATCAACAGCATCCTAGCCATTCTCATCCTACTCTTTCAACCTCTTTACCCATACCTTCTTCACAGACCACTCCCTCAAAGCTACCTCCGTCCTCTGGACACTCACCCCAAGCCCCCGCGCCTGCAACTATTCAACCTCCATCTCCTGCCCAACCTTCGCAGCCTCCACAGCCTGTCGGTTATCGAGATCGACTACCGGAGCCGCCACCTGATCGTGGGTTTCGCGAAAAACAACTTCCCTTAGTACCAGAATTCTTACACCAAGAAAGACGTGAAGAAGGTATATTGATTCTTTTAACGTATAGGTGATTTTTTTTAATTTTTTTGATTGGTCATCTTAACTAAGATGAATCACGTCTTCTAGAACTTATGGCCTTACGTGAATCTCTAAATTAAACCATCTATCGTAATTTGAATTATTGTTTGACCAGTCACTTTAATTGTAACTTTTCACATCTATTCATTATTTTTATTTCTATTTTTGGCTCAGACCAGTATTTTTTCTCATAGAATAACTTGCACCTATATGGTTTAATTAAGGATTAAACACACTTATATTCTATTAAAAAATACTATTTGAATTGTTTAATCCATACGATGATATTATAATAATTAGCAAACACTCCATTCAAGTTTCAAAAACGCTACTTATCTTTCTTAAATCTTGGATTTAATGCGTAGATTTGGCTTTACATCTTTATTAACACCAAGGTTTTCCTCTTCGACGTCCTGACGAGCGTGAACACGATTTCTATAATGGGGCTGATGCAGATTATCGAAATCAACGCCCACTTCCCGAATATCCACCTCAGAACCGTCGACATCCCGGCCCTCCACCTCCTTTTCGTGATGACTGGGAATCCTCTGGTCGATTTGAAGACGTTCGTTCTCGACCTTACCCCCCCGAACTCCGAGAAACTTATCGAAATTCGACAGATCGTGATGAACGCTATCATCCTTTTTCGGATGAGGATTGGCGAGATCGCTGGCGAAATGGAGATGCTCCTCGGCCCCCAAGGCCCCATCATGATTCAGGGTATTCACGTAGTGGTCCCCCGCCTGAACCGCCTTATCGGCAACAGGGACCTCCACCACCAAGTCACTCTCATCCTCAAATACATTTCCGTAACGATACTTCTCCTCTCTCAGGACCTCCACCGCCGCCAAGTTCATCTGTTAGCCATTCACGTCACTTTGGCCACTTTCCACCAGAGCCCCACGGCCCTGGGGGTGGGGGTCTACCACCTGGGTTTTCCGGTCCTGGCCCTCAGAAGCGCCCTCTTCCTCCGGACCATCATCCGAATAAATTCCAACGCAATGCACCTGGTGCCCCAGGTCCACGTTGGTCTGATAGTGATTGGTAGAACCGAAGCAATGCCAGCTTTATTTGTTTTGTACAAAGATTAATGTTATGATTTGCGCTGCTACTTCCAAAGGGATACGCTAAACATTATATTTTACAACCCTGAAAAGCACTGGTAATGTTTGGCCTTTTGGCTAGCTTATTTAGATGAATGAACTTACATTTTGTACCTTTTTCTTGTATATTATCGTTATTTTTGGTTACACATTTTAGCTTGAGTGGTTGTTCCATTGATTGTTTTATCCTATGCAAGACAAGAGGATGGATGCGTTCTGTGCCACAACAAACCCTAGCATTACGACGTACTATCCTAGCTCTGACTAATATGAGCCTTCAAAAGTCTGCGTACGTGGCCATTGCTAGTTAGTCTTTTTTTAAGTGTTCTAGATGCATAAGCTCTTACTATTGCTCAGTTCAAAAGATGCAGTTTTTTAATAAAACTTCCCTTTATCCGCTTCTCATTGAGCTAACTATTCACACATGGTTAGTTTTATCTTGGG